TTTGCTCAGACTTCCAGTTGCCTTTTGTAATTAGAAGCCCTGCTCGTGGAAACATGGATATGGAGACACCATATAAAAAGCAGAGATGAACATAATATCCAGACTAGAAGATAAGCATCTTCAGGCACCTCTCCAACAGTCTCTGAAGGAAAGCAGCCGCGTGGAACGATGAAAGAAATGAACTGAAAGGAGTCAACGAAGCTGAGTCCAAACTACACAGGTCGGAGCTGTGTTTTTCTAGAATCTAATCAATTAGGTAGTTCTTTCAATTTTTGTTCCATCCCAAGCCTTACCTTTTTCACTAACAACAACAACAAAGAGCCCAGTCAATTTCCAGCCTATGAAGAAACATCTAATTTTCCTGTAACAAAAGTCCTACTGTTGTGAAGTTACACTGTGCCTGAGTCATCTCCCGATGACAACCACATATTTTTAGCAGACTACTTCAAGTAATCTGTCCTCCTGAAAACCTATTTGCCAAGTGCCTTATGAAATACATTTTCTTAGTGATCTTCGGAAAAGCTATTTCTATACACAATACCTTTATTCTGAGCAAAGCATTAATCTGCCAGCACCAGTGCATTAAAAAAAAAAGAAGAGAGAGGAGAAAAAAAAAGGGGGGGATGTTCCAGCTTAAGTTCTAATAAGTTTTAACTAATTTCTAATTTTCTATTTTAAAGAAAGATTCTTGTATGGTCCCTCAAAGTTTTATCTAGCTTTATCTTACAGCCAGGCTCAGCTGTTTGCATGGTATTTACAGTGGCATTTAGTGTTATTATAGCATAAAACAGCTTGCCACCATCGTAACAGTCACTACCAAGAAGTGGCACAGGAGGGGCCAGGCAGCCCAGGGGAAGGGCACTAGCCCAAGGCTCTGCAGATGCTCCACAGCGTTTCWTTCATGTCATTTGTGGCCTTGGACCTCCACCTTGCACCTCCTTCTGTCTTTCCACCCCTCCCTTTGCTTATTATATTTGAATTTAGGGGCAGGGACTGCCTTCTATGACACCTGCTGCAGTCCTAGAGTGTCTGGCTGCTACTGTGTTCATAAGAGCAGAAACGAAGCTACCTGCACTATGTCAAACCACATGCAATCAATTTTGCTACTGTCTTCAGGTGGAGACTCATCCTGCATATCTGACAGACATAGTTAGGGGTTAGATCAAATCGAAACTTAGAAAAAGTTAGTTTTTTAAAAAGGACTTTTCAAGAAGAGGCAGTGCATGCACATTATGACAGGCAATTCCCTTTCCTGCTTATTAAAGAAGCTGGAGGCTATTTGCTGTCCAGGCACGTAGGCGAAATTCATCTTATGGGCAGAAGGTCCCGAAAGCAGCACAGCTCCAGTTCGCTTGTGATGGAGGGAGTCAGTGCAAAGAGCCGATCTGCTCCGCTCGGTACGGAGGGTCTGGCTCTGCCGGCGGAGATGGGACGGGACCAGCAGGGTCCCAATTAGGTAGCTCCAGCTCCAGCTCTGGCCGCCGCAGCGGCTCCAGCAGCGCATCTGCCGTAATGGGCAGCTACCTTAGCAGCTGGAAGACTTTGTTCTTCCTTGCAGATGCAGGAGATCAGGATGGGCAGAAGTCTCATCACGTTCRGGAGACAGAAAATCCGACAAAAATGTGGATGCCAGCAGGCACGCCATCAAGCATGCAACGGTTCCTTGCAGCCCCCCTTAGCAGCTCCCCTTCTGCCATGCAAGCCAAGAAAATCATCGTTCCAAAGGGCGAACAGGAGGTGTCCACAAAGAAAAACAGAGGGAATGTGGCCATACTAAAGGGCATTCTTATTTCAACTTGTTTACTGTAATAGGTCTGAGGTTGCTGCATACGGACTAATTAAAGTTTTTAGCAGAAGAATAGAAATGGAATCTGCCAAGGGAAATATCACAGAAGCTTGAGAAGCAACAAAGTTTTCGTCTGGCTTAGTCATAGCTCGCTTCATCACAGGACCTAAGCTCAGGTCAGTCAGATGTGGTTTGATGACAAGGCACATAGTTGCCCTTGCATTAATGCAGACCCATGCAGCCCCGCAGCAGAGAAGGAGAAGGAGCTGCACAGCCTGACCAAGGACAAGGATAATCCACATGGTGTAAATTGGACTCTGATCTGTTCCATTCACATAGACAGACCCGCTGGTGGAGTTTCTCCACATGACTCAGGAGAGGTTAAGTAACCCACATGAACAGAGAGTGCAGGAACTATGTCACAGCCCAGCCGAAACCACAGAACATCTCATTTTAGGAGCTGGATCACTGAGCAGAGACGGGATCTCAAAGCCCTGCACGCACTCAAGTGTTGCTCAGCTGTGCCCCCAAGCTCAACAGACACCACCGAGCACCYGATGCCTGCAGAGAAAACAGAGCAAACCTGGGGACACAATAACAGGGCAGGATTTGACCCTCCTCACCATCTTCCTCGAGAGTGAGAACAACCTCAGGCTGCCCCAGCACAGAGGTGTCCCCGTTGCTCAGTGCCCCTTTGCCTCCCTCCTTCATGACASTGGTGTCACCCCCAATGTGACAATGGGGATGGGACAATGTGTCCCCCAAGTCGCCTACTCCCTTCCCCAGCARGGCAGGGAGCAGGTTCGACCATCATTGACATTCACAATTCATTCCCACAAATTATGTCAAATGGCGCCAAACAGCAGGGCACTAAAAAAGCACCAGTTCCTGCATCTTTTTCCATTTATCTTTTTCTCATCGTCTGCAGATTTATGAAATTAATCTCTGTTTTATAGAACTTGGATTTTTAACAACTACAAAGCAAAAAATGCTAAATTGCTTTTATTGCTGTTGGATGTTCGAAGACATCTTGCTATATCCTGTCATTTACATTTCACATTAAATGTGAAATATGTCGGAAATGAGCAAATATTTGTTTTAATTTGACCCATCTGTTAAATGAAAAACAAAGAGGATTTCTAAATCACTATATTTAAATGCAGCAATTTGTAAACAATTTATATTGTCTTTTCAGCTAGGTTCAAAGTGCCCTAAAGCATCACTCTTACGAAGTCTACACATGACACTGCTTTCCACTCTTCTCCTGGATTTTCTACTCTTCAGTTTATTAATTTATCTCACAACCCCAGTTAATTAGCAAGGCTTATATTAAGTGCCATCTGAAAAATGCCACAGAAATCATGTTGGAGAATTCACAAAAGTATCTACCAGCTCCAGAGAGCTGACAGCACACAGAAAGCGTCAGATATTGGTGCCTAATTCCCTGAAGATAAGAGAYGAAGCAGGGGCTTTCATTTAGCTCGTGAGCACTTCTGCAAGCAGCCTGGTCTGACCTGTGCCACTCTGGACCTCCATCGAGGAAGAGCAGTAATGAAGGAAAGGAAGAAACGCTGCAGTTATTTTACTGTCTCCTCGCAACCTGTCGAGAACTTGCTCCAGGACTGGGATCAAGCCTGTGCTTTAATGTAGCCAATAATTTACAAGGAGAGCGAGTTCCACAGACATTTAAGGATCCCACAGTAGCTCTTAACTTAAAGAGCGGAGCCCTATCTCTTGCTCCACTCTGTGCAAAGTGCTTTGTTTAGCATTTATCAAGCTTCAGCCCCAGCAGTCAGTGYATTTCAGTGGACTAATATTATCAAGAGCCCTTTTAATCACCCTAACATGAGGCTCCAGCTCCAAAGCATCCCCATGTGATTTGCATTGCTGGCAGACAGGAGCTAGGAACAGATTTCTTCTTCAGCACAGCCCGGTTCACAAGAAATTGCTCCATGGAGCATCAAGTGATGTATCTCCCACTTGAACCCCTTGTCATCCTATATAGGTCTGCACTTTTTTTCCCTAACACTCTTCAGGTCTAGGCCATATCAGTCTGATTTTTCAGTGTCTTCCTCCAGATATGTGTTGAAGTTGGGAAAAGGGGACAGATGCACTAAGTCTCCTTAGCTGCATCTTCATATCACAGCCACAGACCTTGACAAGCAAGACTAGCTGAAAAAGCACAGGATGCTCAAAAATCAATTTAACTGAAAGTCTTACCAGTGGACAGTGCCATGAGCTTCGACTGCCCCTCTGGAATACGAAGCAGAGCACTAAAAAGCTACACAGAAATCCTAGGTCTACTGTGCGCTCTTACGGAAGAYGCTTCATTTATTATATCCAAGTATCATATTAAGCAATCCAAAAAACCACGAACTAGCTGTAATTTAGCCAGGGCATGATGAAGGGTACCTCAAAGAGCATCAACAAGTACAGAGACTACATGGATCACAGCCCGGAAAGATTCCAAGCTAGTGAAATGACAACTTGATTAGTTTTTGTCTGACAAATGTGGTGAGAGAGATCAGAATCAAACATAATTCCAAAGTTATAGGCCTTCAAATAAAGGCAGGAAAAAATATCAGAGGGCAGCAGCAAACTGCAAGACCAAAGCAGCTCTACATCCCAGCTTTGGTGATGCTTGAGTGCAACACAGCCACAACTGAAGTGCAGTAAGTGCCCTCCTGGGAACACCGGGAATTAACAGGGACAAGCTTCAGATYTTCAGAGTGGGACAAGCTTCAGATCTTGCTCCACATTCTCTCCCTCATCAAGAGCCTTACTAAATATGCACATATTTTTAATTTAATGGGAAAAAATGCCAATAAAGCTATTTTATAATCAGGCTTCAGGGCCTGTCGATATCCCAAAGGTCAAGCAGCAATGCCTATTACCCATTCGCGTTTGTTTGGAGGAACGGACAGGCAGGAGCGCAATCTGACAACAAAAAATAGAAAGCAAATTGTTTTTTCCATCTGCCTCTCTTCTCACTTTTTCTAATGACAAAACAGAGAGTCAAACGCATGCAGGGAAATCAGACTACTTGAAACACCGTTTTTGATTGCAACCAAAAGCATCCCTCTCTCTTATTTTAACTCAGTTTCACACCCTGCTGCCCCTGTTTGGGTGCTCGGTAAGAGGGCAGTTTTCCTTCCAGTCTGGGAAGGACGGCATGAGAAGGAGGAAGGGAGACAAAGCAGGACACAGCTCTTACCAAGGAATATAATGATCTGTCTCCTGGAGCTCTTGCTGTCCGAGCTTTGGTTTTTCCTCAGCGGCTGCTCCTGGTGTCCCTTCACTGCAACGGTTCCTTTCTTGTTGATCATCAGGGTCTTCATCATGCTGCGGCACATGAAGGCCACGGCGCCCAGCACAATGATGTAGACAGCAAACGCGCTGAAGATGCTGGCCTGGAAGACGGGCCATTTGGAGGAGAGGTTGGTGCAGATGGTCATGTTGAGCCTCAACTCGGGGATGTGGTGCCGGGGCATAGGCTTAACACAGGCCGTCACGCCTTGGTAGCCCTCGATGATTTCCAACGGATACTCCGTGCCCATGGCAAAGAGCAGGGGCAGAGCCACAACGACAGACGTCACCCACACAAAGGTGATGAGCAGCTTCACCTTGCGGGGTCCGGAGACGGCCTTGAACTTGAAGGGATGGCAGATGGCCACGTACCTCTCGAAACTGAGAGTAGCCACATGCAGAACTGTGGCGTAGCTGCAGGCTTCGAAAAGGAAGCAGTAAAGCTTGCAAACCACGTTGCCGTTGGGGGTGGAGAAGGGCCTCCATATGGCGCTGAGGAATTCTCCAGGCATGCCAAGCAGGATCACGAGCAGGTCGGAGCAGGCCAGGCTCACCATGTGATCCGTGACCTCCTTCTGCAGGTAGCCCTTCTTCTGCAGGATCCTGGTGGTCTTGATAGTGATGCTGTTGCCCAAGATCCCCGCCACAAAGACCAGCGTGTAGAGAATGGCCAAAGTGATCTTGATCCACGGGGAAACCTCGAACTCAGGAACATGGCTGTGATCAATGACCTCAGAGCAGTCCGAGGGGGACGTTTGTGCTGCCATGAGCAGGCCCCCTGCACCCTCCAACACTCAGAGCCACCACAGGAGGATCCTTCCTTCCTTCCTTCCTCCACCCCTCTGAACACAGCCAGGTACGAGGCAAATCCCTCAACCAGCCACACCTGAAGCTTTCATTAGTTATTAGTTATGGTGGCTGCGTCCTGACACCCAGCGCTTCAGCTGTTACCTGTTTTCACAAACAGGCTTTGCCCCGGTGCCGTTCTCCTCCTTTCCTCTCGACTAAGCGAGGGAGCCGGTTTCCAGCGCGTTGTGCTGCAGAGGGCTCTGCTTTCGATCTTCACTGCTTGTCTTCACTACTTCCTCCCGGCGCAGCGGCAGCTTCAGCCCCAGGCGGGCCAGGAGGAAGCAGGCGCTCCACTGTGGTCAGACTGCTCAGTTAACCATTAACCTAAGTCTTTGCTRTCCCCAGTCACTGTGAGCAAAGCAGGGTTAGAAAGAGAGGGAAAAAAAGTCCTAGATGTGACACTCATTTCCTGTAATCAGATCTGCTGCTCGGGGACAAAAGGAGGAGTTTCTCTTGGAGCTCTGGGTTAGGGTGAGGCCTATTACGTGGCCTGAGCCTGGASGGTGACTATCTGCTTATGCATTTAACCTTAACCTGGCTCCATACTTCAGCTCCGGATGTGCTAACAGCAACGTGCTCTGCTRCTTTGCCTATCTTTAAACAACATCTCCACATCCGCTGCAGCTTCTGTGGCCACCAACTGCTATACATCAGTAGGAGGTTCTGATTTTTCAGCTGCTGCTGCTGGACTGGTGGCTTCTTAAACTGCCTGTTTAGACCATAATGAATCCTATAAGAACTTTTAAAACAGAAAAGCTCTAGATTTAGACACATTAATAGTCTGCCTTTAAATTTCCATCTCCATGTTTTAGCTGATACAAATAAGGAAGCTAGCAACCCTAATCATGCTCATCCTTTCTAATAGTCAGGAGCAGCTGGGAGTGAAAACATACTGCCCCCTCCTGTGTTGCACCCCTGGGGGAATGAATTTAATACACTCTTTAGTTATAGTTTCAAACCACAGCACTGAAGGCTCCCAAGGTAACCCCTGGGAACATTTAATTAGAGGGTGTGTATATAGATTAGGAAACCTTWAAATTACAATGCAAAATGGCAGAGCAGCCTCTGCAGTTACAGTCAGAGAGGGGCACAGCGCAGTGATCTGCTCCAATAYCAAGCCTAAGATTGGGTTCATAAAGAGATTGTTATTAATTAGACAAGCTCATGTGATGCTTTCCAGCTCATGATAAAAGCAAAATATTAGAAAGCTGTTATTAAGCAGTCTCCTCACATTCAGTGGTTACACTGTACCTCAACAGCCCAAGTATATAACGAACAAAAGAGGCCCAAAACAGGATAATCAGCACCTGTTTCAATGTATTATTTATACAGTCCCATTTCAGAGAAACCACCTCAAACCTTGCACAACCTTAAGCCCTGTAGTCCCAGTCATTTCTCCTTCTGTTTGATAATTCACATTTGTTCTGCTCAGACAAGCTTTCTATTATTACCCAATTCCTTTCACTTAATTTTACTTTATAAAAGTGTGAACGAAGATTACATATGCATGACTGAATTGTGGAAATGAAGCTAATTAAAATTTGCTGCTTAGCATCAAAGGGGAAAAAGGCAGAGAGAGAGCAAAAGAGAAAGAAGAAGGCCCAGTAGGATTAGATCTCCTCCTCCTTTTTTTTTTTCTTTTCTGCGCCAATTATATAAAAAAAAAACAGAACACAATTTTGGAGTTTTCAATATTATCTTTAGAACATACACAAAGTTTATTAAGTTTCTAATAAAGAGCTGCTGCCGCAAAGGAGATTGAAATGAAAGAGTCAATTTTGGATACTAATAAACTGAGGCGATATAAAAAAAAATAAAGATCTTACTGGGCTTACTAGACTAGATAAACCAGCAGTGAGTATTCCAGAGATAGGTATAAAATCCCTATCATGTAAAATGTAAAAATGATGTAAAAATGTATCTTCCTGGAGGGTGACRTTTCTCCCCAACTAAATGTGCATAATATCTCATTGTGGCATGAAGGTTGAGGGCTCATAGTTATCCTAGTTGTATGACAACATTTTATAGTCTTATCACTTGTGCAATTGTCCCTTTTAGGATTTCACTGTGCTTTGCTTGGTTGTCTTGTACCAATGGTACCAAAGGTTAATGTTAGCACCCCAGTTAACCCAGACTACCAGGTGCAGTTGTTCGTAAGACGCTACAAGTGGTGGGAGCCAAAGAAACATAGATATGTAACATGGCTTATTGTTGCTTTTTTGGAGATAATAAAGCTGCTGTGATTACCTGCTCTGGTCCTTATGCAACAGAGACTGCAAAATTTCCTGAACAGTTCACTTGTTTTTTTGGTCTGATCCTTGCTTAATGCTGTGGTGAACCATTCATCCCCACRGCCCTGACAGACCATGGCTGGTGGACAGAGGACAGCACCCACTAGCAAGCCAGAACAATGTCCCCAAAAGATGTGCCCAGGCTGAGCCCCTGGAAGCAGCAGCTAAGCTGAGCTGCAGCTCGAACTAACCTCAGATCAACAAGCACATCTGACGGGTGCTGTTCATTTTACATAAATCAGCTGTAGATGAATATTTTCCAGTGTGCAGGGACATCGCATCATTCCTGCTGCATTATCTCTGCAGAATTATGTCTCGATGGCTGCACTGTGAAAATGCAGGTCTCCCTCAATGGTTGTGCTTGTACTAATTGAGCTGATCTGAAGGATACCTGTTCTCAAACTTGAGGACAACAAAGAAAATCCTTTGCTTTCTTGCTCCCTTTGGTTGGAAAAGTCTAAAACTGAAATGGAAAAGGAGAGCTATCTCAAAAGAAAAGAAATGTGGCTGTGAAAAGGATTATTTTTTTTTTTTCAGGTGCCAGTCTTTGCCATTCTCCATCCCAACAAACCTCTTTTCTGCTGGAATAGCTGTCATACCTCTGTCTTTCTGGGGTTTGTGCAGAGGGGGAGAATGTGTGGCGTGTTCAAGTCTCTCCAAAATGCAAATAAACAAAAGGAGATTGCTGTTCTGCAGCTCCTGTGATCCGCTCGGGCACAGGGGACAGGACTGGGGGAATAAAGGGGAAAAAAAAGAAAAAACAGTGCAGACAACAGTGAGGAGCCTTAATGCTCTAAAACATTTTCAAAAATCAATTTGCTTGAGAGAGATCATGTTGACTTTTTAAATTATTTTTTGTTAAAAATTTAAATAATTAAAGACCAAATTCAACTTACTGAGGGTTTCTTTCTACCATCGCAAATCTAACAAGCCTATTCTTTTCTGGCAAGATTGCTCTATGTTTCTCTTAAGATTTTTGGGTGTCGTTTTTCTTCAGAAGATTATTAGTATTTTTACTAGTATAAATGACAATAAATCACTGCTTCTAGCATAAAGTGATCTCTGTGGCAAATAATATAATCGAAATAAGCTGATCGAGTCCTGCATTTCCCCCAATGTATTTTCCAATCAGCAAGCCATAAATGCAGCTAGAAACAGAGCACTGACAGAATGGGTTAGCCAAGATGCAGCAAACTGGGAGCCCCTGGGCCTCTCTGCCAGTAGCCTGGTTTTCACCTAACTTCCTCACATGGCTGGCGGCATAAAAAAGAACAGAGAAGTTTCTTGACACAGCTCTTCATTAGCAGCTCTGGTGGTTTTATCTGACACTAATTCATAATCAAAATACACTTGCAGCAGCAAAACATGGAAAAATTGTACTAAGACAAAATTAGATTTTTTAACCATGTACCATCTGTTTTCTCATCACCTTTGTAGAACTGAAGATATTAAAGCTGTTCAAAGCCTTACTCAAATACAATGTTGTCTGAAGCAAACCAAGCACACTACGGTGCGTGCAGGTTGCTGCCTTTAGGTGCCTGGCAAGAAAGTGAAGGGTTAAATCCCCACTTCCTCACAAAGGAGAGGGGATTTCTCCCCTCTCCCCTTTCTTTCCCCTGATACTGAACCCCTGAACCCTTTCTTTCCCCTGATACTGCAGTAGCTGCTAGGGGACCAAAAAAAAGTAGGCAGCTGTGGTCCCAAACTGAGAGAATCTGATTAGAAAGATTGGGTTTGGACACTCGCTGAGAAAAGAAAATCCCTTCCCAAAGTGAATCGGTCCTTTTTGCATCCTTGGGGAACAAGGTACCGAAGGAACTGAGTTCATTTATACTCCTGGCTTGACAAAGGAGGGGTAACTTTAAAACAAAATTAACACATACTCCAAGTCCAGGTCTCTGCAGTCATGAATAGACTTCATTGAATGTTTTCTTCTTGAAATAATCCTTTCAAAATCCCCTTTGCCTGTGACAGTGGCATCAGGGCACATCATCTGGCTTAAGAAATTGCCACCTTTAGCCTTGTGGTACAACCCCCTAGCAAGCTGAAACAAATCTAATTTTCTCTGTGTAACTTTTGATTTGTCCAAATAGATGCTTTTAAAATCGGTGTCAAAAGTCCTGTTTAAGAGCATACTTAGTTTCTTATGACCTATTTTGAAGATGGCAGATTAACCTCTTATGGACAGTTTACTTTTCCAGCCAGTCTTATTACTTTGCCAGCCCAGTTCCTTCTGGATATTGTCATGCTATTGCTCTAGGAAAAGCCTCATATTTCCTTCTAAAAATGTAGCTAGTTGCTTAAGCTTACCATGTATGAAAAACTTGTGTGAAAATATATTTTCTCATAATTGGAATGCTCCATAATTTTTGTTATGAATCTGTAAGACTAATAATCTATGGAAATGGCTCATACACACAGGGGCCAACACTACAATTCAAAGTACAAGCACTTTGTTTGCTAACAAACCAACAAGGGTTGTTCTAAAAATCAATGGTGCTACGCACTTGGTGTCTTGAAAATGCTGTTTATTGGAATATTAAGCTTCAGCAGCGCCAGGAAAAGCAAAAAAATATATATTTCTTGCTCCCTTCTTGTGTTTGCCATCTCAGCACCACCAGGATTGCCCTTATGCCCAGCTGAGCAGTTACAGAATCATTTTGCTTCTCTTCAGAACTCAGCTGATTGGTTTTAACCTGGAGCAAGCTAATGAGAGGGCTTTTTGACCTGCTTCTAAGTAGTCCTAGCAGCACGTCAGCACAGCGGGAGCCCTTCTGTCACCTTGTTCTTGCGTGTTTATGATTTATACCTAACACGTAGACTTAAAATATTCAACTTCTCACTTAAAGAAAATGGTATTTTGCCGTTACATAGTTCTTTTCCTCACAGGGGCTTTAACAAGATAAATGCTGAATAGCTTG